AGAGCTGAAAACATCCCCATTCTTGAGCTGCCCTCCCTGCAAAGGTCAGGAAATGGTAAACGGTTGCAAAGATTGCAAAAACTGACCTACGATCTTAGGCAACACCTGTAACAGGAGAACTTCCCATTTCGTGCCACTTAACAGCCCACGGCCGGCCGTGCGTAGCTGCTTTTACTGGACTAGATTCTGCAGGTTCTAAGTCACCTCCAGAGGAAAGGAGAGGAAGGCTCAACAGTGGTCTGAAAAATGACAGAATCTAACAAAAGATGCCACAACCTGCAAAAAAAATTTTTTTTTAAGAACCGGAGAATGGTGTTTCCCGGCCTTTTCTCAACAGCAGCCTCTCTGTTCACCAGCCTGGCCCGTGCACTGGGCCCAGAAGGTCACTTACGAACCAGGCAGCTAATTTTTTTTAATGAAGACCGGACCGGAGCTGCTGTCCTGAAGGAGGTTCATCTCCAATCAGGGCCAGAGCGGCAAGCGACTCGGGGTGTGTGTGTGTGTGTCTGTCCATCTGTTCTGGTCAGCCACTCAAAGCCAAACGGCTGGGTTTTGCGAAGGCCACTGCAGGCTTAGGGTTTCCTTTATTCTGGAGTAGCTTTTGGCCACTGGGGTGGGGAGTGGGTACAGAACTCGGCCATCACAACAGGGCCCCCCTCCCCAAATACACCCAGGCAGGAGGGAGCAAAGCGGTTTGGGAAATGACGGGGCACAGGCTGAGCCCCCCTTTCCCTTGCCAAGAGGCGTCTCTGGTTGCCCCTCCTGGATGGGGCAGGGGAACCCTGCGGGGGGGGGCATCAGCATCCCCACCCCGTCTCCCCAAGCGCGGCATCTCGGAGGGAGGGGGTCCTTGATGGCAAAGGGGGCAGAGGAACCCCCCCTCCCTGGATCGCCTCCGCCTCTCCCCTTGGAGGGGGCTCCGGGGGCGCCTCTGGACTCCCCAGGTGTGCGCGCGGGGTGTGTCTGCATGCGTGCGCGCGTGCAGCGAGGAGGGGCGCGCACGGGTGGAAGGAAGGGCCCCCTTGCACGCGCTTTCCTTATCCGCGCCCCTGCGCACCCACCTTTGCGCGCGGGCCCAGATGTGTACACCTCGGGTGTGTGTGTGTGTGTGTGTGTGTGTGTATTGTGGCGCGGGGGGGGCAGGGAAGGCGGCGCGCTGATTCAACGTGACTCAGCACCGGCGGGGCGGGCGCCCCTCCCTCGTTCCCGCTCGGGCGGCTGTGCTTCCGCGCACGTAGCCCGTTGCAAGGAGGAGTCAAGGGCACGCGAGCCCGGGGGCGCCCCGGAAGGCCCCGAAGGAAGGACGGACGGGCGGGCGGGCGGGCAGGCAGGAGGGCCCCGACTCGGCCCGGGTCCCCGCCGGGCGCGCCACTCCAGAGAGGATGATGATGATGATGATGATGGGTGGGTGCGAGGGGGGACTTGCCCTGAAGGAAGGCAGGCAGGAAGGAAGGGCGCCCGGGAACCGTCCCTGGAGCAGGATCAAGGCTCCCCCCCAACACACACCCCACCCCACCCCACTTGCACCGAGGGCGAAAGGCGCGACCGTCTCCCTCGTGCGGGGAAA